ATTTAATAAGTGCATCTTTTAATATTACCTCTGGAAATATGTTCATGGTTTTCTTTGCCTTTTCTTTTTGTTTCCTTTCTTTTTTTGAACCAGATTTAAAGAAGGCATTCAATATCCCGACTTTGATGATGTCATTTTAATATTTCATCACTATGGCTGAGAAACAAGAAAGAGGAAAAAAAACTAGAATACATTTCTGAGAAAATTTCATCTTTTATGAAAACTTTAAACCGATCAGACCATCTGAGTATATCTTTAAAGCTCCCGGATAAGTAAGAAAGGGAATTCTCAGCAACAGTCACTAAAAACGATTCATCTGAAACTGATCAGAGGCATCGTCCTCACTCGTGCTTTGAGCTTCTTATGATTAACTATTCCATTTGACACCCTCACTTCTCTGACTGATCTTATGGCTCGAGGATGGTCTTCTTAACATCAGGTTTACTTCATCTTTGTTGCATTTCTCTGCCTTTCTTTTTCTCTAAATGCTGTGTCATACACTGTAGGATACATATTGAATGAAGCCCCTGTAAGGGCGCAGCTGCTCTATTATGGATTAGATGGCGGCAGCACATAGCTCTTACCTCATAAATAGCTGAGGGAACATTTTAGGACACTGGAACATTGTGCACACTCTTCAGAGATGTGCATTTGTCTAAAAATGTTGCAAATATACTCTTCTGTGTTATACAAGGCCAAAGAATGCAGATAATTAATTGTTTTGTACTTAGAATTGGTCCTTTGTGTGATGATTATGCAGGAAATGCAGTAAAGCAGCCCTAAAATGGTGCTGCCAGGAGAAGTATTATTTCTGAAATTGGCAACAATTTTATGAACATATTGATTTGATATTAATAGAAACCAGAGGATCATCATCGTAATTGTCGTAAGAAAGCAGTAAACAAAATCTCAGGATTTTCAAAAATATTCCTAAGTGGTTTCAAATTTCTGAAGGGCATACACATTTCTTATTTATTTATTTACTAGATGTATCTCCACAGTGACATTTTGTGCCTGAGGTGCATCCAGTGCAGCATCAGTAGCAGTCTGCAGAGCTTCAGTTCAGCTACTTATGATGCACACATCAGCTTCTCCAAGTACCTTCCTGCTCCTCCACCGCCTTTTGATCCAGCCACCTGAAAGCTAAAGATAGACAAATTTTACCATTTCATCTCAAGTTTTCCTGTCTTATCTGTGAAACTTTTTTTTCTCCTTATATCCTTTTAATCACTGAAGGAAGTGATGAATCACACCTGAAGAAAAGAGAAAGAGATTTCACATGAAAGGGTAGAAAGGAGAGTCTCGCGGTGTACTGCTTTTTATTGTGTTATTTTTGGCTGTTTGATAGACAACATCTTTCTAAAAAACAAAAACAAAAAAAGGTAGGAAGGTTTGAATTTTGAAAAGCCGCTATGAAAATGTAATCGATCTTATTTGGTCTTGGTTTTGCATCTTTCTTTTATGTATATACATGCATTATATAAAAAGAGATGTTGTAATTGCTTGATTTATTAGGCTTTCATAGAGTTGTATTTAATGTATAAATACCTTTACTGTCAGATATAGACACCAGCAATTATTCAGTACATCGTATATAATTTAAAAATGAGCCAGACAAAGGTAGAGTGGTGTTCAAAGGGGCGTGTCCTTGGAATATATTCAGCAAACAAGCACTAGTACTCTTGAAGATAAAGGATGCAAATCTTAAAATATATCATATATCAATATATCCTTATCCACCCTGTGTAAGACTGGCAACCTGTCCAGCATATACCCCACCTCTCACCCTACAGCAGCAGGGATAGGCTTACTTATATCCACTATCATCGGTTTCTTCAAAAGGTGAACAACTGTCCAGTCTATATACAAGAAGAAGTTAGTAATTTAGCCAGAATGTAGACTTTGTCACAGGTAGGTGTAAAATATAAACATTGATTGATATATATTTTATGTTTTTTGATTACTGATTACCATTTTCTGATTACTGAAACAGACTTTGCACTTAATGTAATTATATGTCTCATGTTGAACAGTCCCAGTACCACTCATCCATCCTCACAGAAGCTGAAAGTGAGGTCAAAAAAAGCTTCGACGTTCCTCTTTGTTCAGGGAAAAACATTTTCCTTCACCCTGTCTGTCTGGCTGTCTGGCTCTGTTGGCTCTGTCTCTGCTATTATTAGCACAGACGAAGAGAGAGAGAACACACAGTCATGGCTTGGTTAACAGGGAGCGCCACAGAATGATTCAGCACTTTGTGCCAGACTGGAAAATTGTTACATTTCACGCAAAATTGAAATATATCTCTCCACTGAACATTAAGTTGTTTAATTAATTGCTAATTAATGAATTAATTGTTGCTGACAGACAGTTTAGGATCACTCAATTGGTACCTACCTCAAGGATCCATTATCCTAAATGTGGTAAAATTATGCTCAAGAATTTGTTGATTTTCTTTGTCTTATTCACATTTTTTTTATTTGTTTTTCATCTGTATGCTCTTTGCCTCTATTCTGTCTAGACGAGAGAAATCCTGTCTCTCTGAGAGCGGTCACTCCCTAAGGCTGCAGGAGCACAGCAAGACACTAGCAACAAATTCCAAGGCAACAGCAGCACTAACTCAGATTAACACTTTGTTTACTGGTACAATAACTGGGATGTATGTGCATATCCACCATTCTTATTGAACGATAACCAATGCAATGACTGAGAAAAGGCGGAGATTGTGAGTTTGCTGCTGAGTCTTCTTTTTGTGTTCACCTCACAAGAACAGATGATGTTACTGCGTTACCTGCGACACTAAACCATAAAACAAACAGTTCTGTCTGTACACATTGTAGCAGATGTATTTAGAAACTGTAAATAAATAGGTCAATGAAATGGTCATTTTTGGTTTTCTGGATGTCTATTTCTGTGTGAAAGGTCACACGCATACAGACTTTAATATGCCTGCAGAGCTGACACCACAGCCCAGTGAAGAGGAATGGCTTTGATCCAGAGAAGCTGACAAACTGGTGAAATTTATGGGCAAAGCTCGCTTGCTGCACAGCCTGATTCTCATTTCCACCCCACACCACACCCCTGCAATCACCAGACAGTACATAAAACATGCCTCTCCCTCAGCACGGGCCCTTTTATTCTTCAAGATTGCAAAGATGAAGGCATGAATAAGAAGAGTTGCCACAGTCAGTGAGGGATCTATATGTATATATAATATTTAGTAATACTTCTCAAATTAAAAAATTCAGAGGGAGAGCCTAAAATGACTTTATATTAGAGGGTTGAATGATGAGCAGATGTGTGTAAAAGGATGTATGAGACATCTAGAGACATTTTTCAACACAGAGAAAGGGTTTATTCAAGGTAAATGGTCTGCATTTCATAGCATTATATTTAATAAGTGTTTTACAGTCTCATTCATTCATTCAGACAAAAACTCAACAGCAACATCTTACAGGCATTAGCATCATATGGAGCGGCTGGGAATCAAACTTTTTACCTTGCTCACAGCAACGTTCTTCGCCACATGAGTTATGTAAGTGATAATGTTTTAATAAACAATGGCAACAATGTATTGTGTATTTTAAAACAAATAAAGAATTTGGACACAATCAGATGCTTCCCTGATTGTACTGCATGATGGATGAGAATGTAATCTTTCTGTGCCTAGACTTTTCACAGTTTAACTCTATGTATTACTGGTGTACCAGTGATGCCATAATAAAATGTAAGGAATCACTGGAGGAACTGTGTTTTTCTGTGTATTTTGGCTCAGTTTGTTGTATTTTATTACAATCAGTAAAACAAAGTTTAAACAGCACTGCAGGTATGGTAATATAAGCATGTGTTCAATCATTAAAAAATGACACACTTGAGAAATCAGCCAACTGCAATGCTTATAGATTGCAGTGGGAGTGCAGGCTCAACCTGCTCTCATAGCATTCAGCAGTAAATTTCAAATTAATCCCAGATCGGACGCAGTTTCCACAAGAATCCTTTACACAATAGACAATATTTCACATGCTTTTATAGCCTCGTAAAGCTCTTATGGTTTTTCTTTTTCTTTTTTGTGGCGGTTATGAAGTGGGGATAGGGTGGCTAAGGTGCATCTCAAAATAGAAAGTTGAAGCACTCTTGAAGTTTGAAGCAATCAGGGGGAGGGCTGTTTTGTAACAGGGCTTTTACAGTATTTCACCTCAGGACTTCCATTCAGCAGCATTGCAGAGGTATAAATCTTTGAAGAACTGCAATGTGCATCATGCATGCACACGCGGTGCTGAAGCTGTCCCGCACAATCAGTGCGCAAAAGGCAAGATGGGCTAATTAAGGACAATGCGTGAGGTCCAAAGACTCCAAGGTCAAAGGGTCGGGGTCTCTGTTTGTGTGAGTGTGTGGGGCAGGGATTGGGGGTTCAAGGGTCAATGCACAGTACAGCCTTAGGTAATCCATCATATCTCTGTGATGCACAGCTTCCTGGTCCTGGGCCTCTTAAAAGCTTCAAGGTGACATTGCTTTCCAGCCAGCCAGTCTTTTTTTCCCTAGAGAAATATTTATAAAACAATACTGACCCTCAAAACTGATTTTTATCTGTCAGTCACTTGTTATTTTGTTTTGTTTTTTCCTCTGATTTCCTTTGTCTTGACCTGTGCAATGCCTTATTTGTTAGTTATTAAATTATTTGTTGATATATTTTGTATTAAATGCCTACATTTTAAGTGTAACTTGGACATAATTATAACATTTTTTCCCACTAAAAATGCTACGCAGAAAAAAAAATCTGACTTTCCATCAGGACTGTGTTTAAGAGCTTGTTATTGATCATAGATTAGGAAATATCCAGTTCATCAATAGGGTGCATAAACAGACACGAATGATGTGTGCATAGATGAATAATGACAACTATGTGAGTAGAAATATTTTGCGTTCAACTTTTGCATACCTTCCAGTAGGAAACCATTCCCCGTCATTTTAAAGAGACATAATGAAATCACGTGCAGCCAAAATTATTTCAAGGTTTTATTGATATGGTGTCATACAGCAATACAATAATAATAATAGTAAAGAGTAAAGCATGTCAACTACATTCAATCCATATGCTTTTGTTGTCACTGCAGCTATGATAAACACTACGAAAGAGAATATAACGGTTAAACACCCCACTGAACAGAGTCGTATGCATCAAACACATGGTCAAAAGCTGCTGGTGTTTTAAGGCATTTTACATCCTACAGTATTTCTTTTACAGTATGGCTAAATATTGATTGTTGGTTTTGAATTGGTGATATACTGATCATCATTTTCCAGAGCATGTGCATTTAGAAAAGTTTGGCAGTGCTGCGGACGCGATATTTTTCTTTAGACATCCATGAAAGCTCTTTTGGTTTACAGTGTAAGGATAAAGGCTTGACATTTGCAACCACTAGCAACTCATTCAGTGTGTTTATAACTTCTTCTGTTTGACGCTATAATTCGTACAATTCATTATTCTATGAAAAAAAATCAAAATGCCCGGCTTGCAGACTTGCTGTTCTCACTCAACACATAATTCCAGTTATGATAGGCCACTGTGTAGAGACACAAACACACTTAGTACAGTACTATCAGTAGGTTTTGTTACCATTCTTAGTGTTAGTGCAGTTTGTCAGGGCATTATTCACCATGACCAGCAGCAAGAGAATAAAGATAGCTGTGTTAGAGTTGGCAGTGCACGAGCAGAGAAAACAAGCTGCAAGTCTCTTAAGCTACTGAAGGATTTCTAGTGGTGAGGTCACACTACAACAGACATTTTATCCAGTCATGGCCACAGTTAAAAAAAAAAAGTTGAGACGTTCTAAACACATCATGGCATGGCACGCTTCAACTAAATCATTAGAGTTTTGTCAACACTGTTTTCTTCAGGGTGACTGATATGGTATTAATTCTTGGGTTGTGCTTCATGGGAAATGTTGTTATGCAGCTGATGTGTAAAATTGATCACACCTCAATCGCTGGATCATTGTGAAACTCGTGCATTTGTGCTACAGCATAATTTATAATTCAGTCTTCAACTGACTTTATAAAAGACTCTTTTATTATGTTTGCTCCATTCTCTAAGGTCTCAAATCTAACCTAAAGGCCTAACAAACACATGTCTAATGCAGTCATTAAAAGGTGTTGTGCATGATGATGCTCGACATAGTCGGCAGTTTTAACTTCATACAACAAAAATGTGTTGAATGAGTAATTTGCTGATGAATTCCATGCAAGCATGACATCTTCGTACACCATGCAAATTATGCCTGAATAATATATTTTTGTCTTTGTCCTAAGTCTTGATCTTACTCAAAGAGCTACATTAATATATTGTTGTTAGTGAAACTTTTCCAGGAATTCGAAAAGGGTCGGTGCTCCACTCCTTCAGCCGTTTGGGTTGTGCTCAAATCCCTTGCAATGAAAACAGAACTGTCTGTGCAAACATTTGATTTAAGCAGGATATTCTTTGCACTAAAAAGGCTCAAAATGTTGGCTCAGTAAGACATTATCATTTAATATTGTTCATCTTATTAATTATTGTTATTATTGTTAGCTGGTTTCTTATGTAGACCGTGTGCTTACTTACTAAAGAGAAATCATTATATTCCTATTGTGGGTAGAGACCCATACCAGCTGATGTGTTTTAGATCTTTTTGGCATAGTGTGGAATGTGTTGAGAATAATTCACAGTTTGTGGAAGAAATGCACAACCGGAGTTGTTATTATTATCTACTGTGTGTCCGTACATATTGATTAGTGAGAAAGACCAGTAGAATAATGTACTGTGAAAGACCATACTCCTGTAAGAGATGCTACCTAAGTGCTTGATATTGTTTGAAGCTGAGAACAAGAGAGAACAAGAGAGAACAGATGTACTGGACTTTTGCATGGTGTGTCGGTTATAATAGCGGTATAATGGATTTCCCTTGATGGGGGGAACACCTGTGGGGGTCAAAGGGGACAAGGACACCAACATAAAACAAACCTGTAGATCCTGCACTCTAATCACATCCAACACACACTAGCTCAGATATGAAAGACAATCTTACTATGCTTTTGGGATGGGGGATGAAGAGGTATGGGTTTGCAAGGCAAAGGGAAGATTTAGGGGTCAACACCAGGCTTAAGCTCTTAGTTTTTCTGATTGGTGGGAATGTCGTCTTGCTGCTTCTCCATCTTCTTGGTGGTGACTACTGTCTCCTCATAAACTTCACGCTGGGACATCTTCCCACCGGATTTGCTCTCCAGCTGCTCGTCATCCTTTCCCTCCTTCTTGGAGCTCTTGCCAGAGCTTGTGTAAATGCGGGTCTGGTAGCTGTAGCCCTGCCCAGGTCCAGCACTTATGGAGGGACTGGGATAGGTGATGCCTGTCCCGATGCGGGTCTCCTCTCCCTCCAGTAGTTTCCTGCAGAAATGGTCATAAAAAGGTGTTAGAGGAAGACATTATATAATGAGAGAGGCAAGTGGTGAGGTGTCAAGAAACATACCTGTATGCTGCAATTTCTATGTCCAGTGCCATCTTGACATTAAGCAGATCCTGATACTCCCTCAAGTGACGAGCCATCTCGCTCTTTGTGGTCCTCAGCTCATTCTCCAGCTCTGCCATGCTTTCCTGAGCAGAAAATTAAAAATGAAAGTAGGCCAGAATTACATATTTTAAAAGGTGAAGACAATGTGTGTGACTACATGTCTTGCAGCAGACAGACAAAGACCTCTGTCAATCCCATTATTGGGCATGGTGTAGGCTAGAATTTGAGAAATGTATTAATAAATAGTAAATATTTTATTTTTAGTAAGAAGCTCTGGATCGAGCGTTTTAAAGTCGTTTTTTTTTTCTTAGAGCATTGACAGTGGGCGTTGTCAGATGCAGCTGAGCGCGCTATCCCGAAGGAACTAGTTTCAGCACCACGGACAGAGCCCGGCAAAAAACGGTTGTCCCGATCTTATTCTTGCGGTATTGTCACTAAAAACTACACACATAGTAGACTATCAATTTAAATGAAACTTTTACGAGACTGCTATTTAACAGCCGAATATCATTGCAGGAGAAACCTGATGATAAGCGTCAAAAAACGTAAAACAGAATTACCTGATAGTTTCCAATCTCCATATTGTGTCTGTCCTCCATCTCCCGAAGCTGCTTTTCCAGAGATTCGTTGGTTCCTCTCAGACTCTCGATCTCGATAGTCTTGGACTGCAGCTGCCTCCTGAACTCGTTCACTTCCTCCCTGCCGGCGCGGATGGCCTCGTTACTACGGTTAGCCTGCTCGGAAAGATCTGCAAACTTGCTCTTGTACCACTCCTCGGCGGACTGCAGGTTCTTTGAAGCCATGGACTCGTACTGGCTGCGAATCTCTTTGAGGGCGGAGGTGAGATCCGGCTTGGACACCTCCATTTCAACAGACACCTGTGCAGCCTGGATCATATCGGTCAGTTCGGCCACCTCCTCCTCATGCACCTTCCTGAGGAAGTTGATCTCGTCCAGGAGGGATTCCACTTTCTTCTCTAAGTCCAGGCGCACCATGGTAGCATCATCCACATCTTTTTTGAAAGCCTTGAGGGTGGCCTCCGCCTCCTCTCGGGCGCGGAACTCCTCTTCATATTTCCCCCTGAGCTTCTGCAGGTCGTCCTCAATATTATCCCTCTCGATCATCAGCTGGGACTTCTCCCCGTTCAGTTCATCGAGCTGGGAGCGCAGTTCGCGGATCTCTTGCTGATAGAGCTCTGCCAGCCTGGACGGCTCGGTATGACGCTGTCGCAGAGCAGTCAACTCTGTTTCCAGCACTTTGTTGTGCTGCTCCAAGTTGCGCACTTTCTCGATGAACATTGCAAAGCGGTCATTAAGACCTTGCATTTGTTCCTTTTCATTAGTGCGGATGATTTTAAACTCATTGTTGAGGACGCTACTCTGTGTCAGGTCGAAGGACTCCACTGGCATAGGAGAGAAGGAGCGGCCAGACTTTCTGCTGAAAGAGCCCAGGGACGAAACGTTGCTTCGGGATAGGGAGGAGGACCGGTACCCTCCGCGAGAGGCCACGTTCATCACCGTGCGCGATGGAGAGGATGCATAACGGGGAGAATCCCCGAAAATCCTCCGGTAGGAGGAGGAGGAAAAGACTTCAGATCCGTAGCTCATCTTCGCTTGTGTGGAGACAGAGCAGAGCAGTGGGCGCGTCTCCTTTATATAGGGGTGTCGACCCAATCACTAATTAATGCCCAACGGTAACATCCGGACTTAGTTTGTTCCAGATGCGTCAGGCAGTCCACTGTGCATATGCGAATGAACAGAAATCACTCCTGTAAACTAGATTTTTCGTTGATAGGTATATTATAAATATGACATCACTCCAGATGTGCACGGTTGACTCTATTTTTTTTTTTCTTTCAGCAAATGGAACTGTCCTTTTTGGCGCAGTGGTGATGTATCCGCGTCTGATCGCTTGTTGCTTATTTAAAACAAACAGCTAACAACATGTAACAAATGTTCCGCATAAGACATCCTTTAGCAACAGTTTCCTGCAGCCCATCTTCAGCGTTTTTGTTGCTGAGAAAAATCTCTGAAAACGGAATTTCATCTAATCCGCTCCAGTCTACAAATTCTATGCTGTTTTTAATTAACGCAGAATGACGATGACGGTGCAGTTTACTTGCAAACTTACTTACTTGCAGTGCAGCCAGGTAACATCCGTAAAACACTCTTCCCCAAACCACAGTACTGACGTCATACAACACATCTGCTTGCAGTTTCCAAATAGCATCTATTTAAATAATATGACCCATTATTTTAACGCAGATCGAGAGCGAGCCCTGCGTTTTTCTTGTGTTAAACATGCGTATAACACAATGAGAAATTTGTATTTGAAAATAAATATGTTATGCATAAAATGTAGCAGGCTGCACGAAATATAATTAGAGTTAGATTTCCAAGAAAACTGTTTTAAATAATATCTAGGGTTACTCGGACTGGTTGATTGTTATTTGTTCTGTTTGGTAAAGTGTGTATATATAAAGCCTGGTCAAACAGGATCCGACTGACAGGCCTTTGCTGCCCTCTGCTGTCAAATAGCGTTACATTGCAAGCAAACTGGACTACCGAACCGTATTAACTGCCACAGTGTTTTTATTCTAGTGTGTTTAAAATTTTAGTGCAGCACATTCACAGTGGTGTTATTATCGTGATTTGTGGCAGAGCAAGATCATTATGAGAATGATTTATAAATAGGGCCTAGTTAAATGTGTTCATTTTGGTATTATACTCTTATCATGGACCTAAGGTTTTGTTGTTTGAACTTTGAATTCCAGTTTGCTATTAAGAATTCTTTTGCTTAGTGTTTTTAGTTGAATGACTTGACTTTAAGGTGTGTCTTTGTTACCAAAGTAATGCATCTGTCCTTAGTCTTAAGTTCCACAGTATGGGGTAATCGCAAGAAAGAACAGTGATGGGAGTAGTCATGCAAGGGTTAGGTCTCGGGATATCAATATTAGCGATGTGCTCATGTGTGGGGACTCAACAGTGGGAGGAAACTACTATTTAGGTAGGGACAATCTAAGGTGTTTGGAAAGAAAAGCGACTGGACTTCTTTATGTTTCTTGAAGATGTTTCACCTCAAATCCAAGAAGCTTCTTCAGTTCTAAGACCAAATGGTGGAGAGTCCCAAGTATTTAAGCCCTAGTGAGATACCTGGGACTTTCCACCATTTACGTGTTTATATGTATTAGCAAAGTTATTGCTAAGGTCTGAGATAATGCATAGCTGTAACTTTGATAATACATATAAACACATATTGTTGTGAGCAGTAATTAAGGCTTAACAGATTAGACAGCTTCTCTTTTTTAATATTATTAGAAACTGTTCACAGTAAAGGTCCAGTTAACTGGGAAGGGACACTGGCTCACTGTTGATGGTATCTTAGTTTTGAACATTACACAGAGCATTACACAGCAGGCATTTAACTTTACTAATTATAGCCATGGACTCTAAATCAAAACATCCTGGATTTGCTCACTTAGGACACCACATTAAATTATTATGACATTTAATAGCAAGAGTATATATGTATTGCAGGTACTTCTGCAGTGACATTCCAAGAGGAAAAAGATTGGCAAATCTGACTGCAGTATGACAGTTAGATGGATAAATATCCAAGAACAAGTCAACAAACAAAACATAAGACAGGATGGAAAAGAAATATAAAATGCATATATTAAAAATCTGCATCAAAATAATGGAAAGATGATCAAAACCATGAAAAGTTTCCTACGTGACCATTTAATAATCTGATTGTACTGGGAGCAAATGATTAGCCTACTTCTAATCTTTATTATGCTATAGGGTGAGTCTGCAGGCAGAACAGTGAACTCTGAACAGTGACATTTCAGATACCCATAGCTGCATTTGTGATATCCATTTGTGATTTCACATATCTACATTTTAGTCATTACCAATCATAATTTTAATACGAGATATCACAAATGAAAAAAAATTATATCTGTTATGACTGTGCAAAACTGTCATATCCCAAACAAGATGTAATTAGTGCTTGTGTTGTTCCTAAAACAAGTTTTATCCTGTAAGATTTGACTTTCAGATTGAATTTACTTTCTGTATTCTGTTTTACTACTTTTAACCTCTTAACACTCATCAGGTCACTTGAGTGTCATCTAGGGTTAGGGACAGGGTTTGAACTGTGTTAACATCCTTCATTTTAGACCCCTGTTTTTCCATCCATCCCCATCCATTTTCTGCTGCTTAACCATGCCTAGATTGACAAGACAGTAGTCTAAGCAGAGAAGCCCAGACCTCCTTCTGCATGGCCACCACCACCACATACAGCTCATCTGAGGGACACAAAGGTGTTCTCAACCTACCTGACAAATATATTCTCACCAGCATATCCTGGGTTTACCTGGGAACACCCTTCTGTTAGGACATGCCTGGAACACCTCACTTAGTACATGCTTAGGACACATGTTAGTCATGTGCATGAATCACCTAAGCTGGGTCTTTCCACTATATCGCCATCTTATCATGATGGAAGGATTTGTGTGCCCTAGTAAGTTATGTTGTCAGGGTATTTGCCTGTGTGGGGTCTCAGGTAAATTGGTCCTTGCTGAGGGGCCAGATGACGAAGAACTCACAATACCCCTATGAAGAAAACATCACCTAATGTAGGGCCTCTAGGCAGAGGTCCTAGATATTTTTCTTATTTTGGCTGTTCCCTTTATGAGACACTACAGCAGATCATCTACCTCTGTCACACCAACACTCATCATCACATATATTAGGCTTCTCTGTGGTCTTATTAGCTATTACCAGTAATCTCTAGAGTCTAAAAAAAGTCCCTACTCTCACCTCCACACTCCTGGCTTCTCCCTTACTGCCTTTGAACAAGCATTCTTCCGCTCTCAGTCTTGATGATCCACATATTTTGTTAGGTAAAGATTTTGGACCCAACGCCCTTCCTGACACAACCTTCCCCATTTATATCAGCTTGGGACCAGCACTAGTAGTACACCAGCTTGTGGCTTCAGCCCCCGTTGCCTGGCCCTGGAGGCCCTAACAGTTCAGTCCCTGGTTATTGTAACTATCCAATGGAATATGAATTTTCCTGTGTGTCAAAAACAAAACGACACCTCCAAAAGGCCAGAAAATTTGTAAAATCAACATTTAGGAAAGGTTAACATCTTATAGTTTCAAAAGAGCTTGGAAAGAGAGTGAGTACCACGACCTGAATGATTGAGAACCTACACACACATCTTATAGTTTGTTTGACACACCCAGTATAGAAGTTGCATATGCATATTAGACTTGCTTAGCATATTGCTAAAATCAAATATTATTATTATTATTATTATTATTATTATTATTATTATTATTATTATTATTATTATTATTATATTATTATTATTATTATTATTATTATTATCATTATTATTGAATCGTTATGTTATATTATTTTTTTTCTAAATTAATTAATTAATTTGTTATAAAGTGAAGCCTAATTCAAGTGGGGTCACGTGTTTGTGCCACGGCGCTTGATGGTCCCGCCCCTCTGTGATAGACAGAACTTAACGCCGCCCTCTGAATGTCTCATAACAGCAGCTGGCAGCAGAGAGCGAGACAGCAGGGAGCAGGCAGGGCACGGACAGCTATTACATACCTGGCTTTGCAGAGTACTCGTCACCGCTTCGCCCACAGCTTTCTGTCAGAATATACACTTTTTCCTGCGACTTGCACGCAGCTCAAGGCGCATGCTCAGAGTAACCGACGGCGCATTTGTTTTATTCAGGAACTCAGAGGTGAGTACAGTAACGCCAACCGCAGCTGAACAAAGTGAAATCTGCTCCCACAGTTTCAAGTCTTCGTGTTTTTGTGTCAAAGCCAGCTAACGCGTTAGCTGTGCCTGGACCACCTCTGGCTGCCCTTCGCATCAATGTCAGATAAAGAAGAGCTGGACGGAGGCGGTTTGAGCGGAGTGTTAGCTAGCCCCGTAGTCCGGTGGTAAATAACGGGATGTTGTTCGGTAACCCCGCGAACGAGATGTTCTAGCTTGTCGAGATACTTTTACATTAGGTTCAGATAATCTGTGAGTATTCACCGTTGTTTTCTCTGACTGCGGAGTTAAAGAAAGAGCTGGCGTGATTTCTTCGCCAAAAACAAGTGACAGTTAGCTTCACCCGCTGTACAGTTGCAGTACTCGTTGATCCACGCTCTCTCTCCAAGACTGAGCAGAGGAAACAAAGCCTGCTCTAAGTTATGTTTGCTTTTCAGCTGCTGTCTGCAGTACTGTTGAGTTGAGCAGGTTTTCGTAATGCTTAGCTGTGGATTTTTGCAAGCCAGAGCTTCCTTCTGACCCCATAGGACCCATTTCACAACATGGGCAATTAAGATAGAGCTAAGAAAGCAAACAAGCTGTAAAATAACAAAAAAGTGATTTGTCTACCAGTTGTGTCCATACTTGTTTTTAAATACGAACAGTTAAAATAAGGTTTCAGATGAAATCAGCTGAAGCTTTTGTTTTGTGTTCTGTGAAGCTGCACACTGATTGCAGTGGTTTTTGTTTGTTTTTTATGTCTGTGGCCCTGTTGACAGTTCTTTGCCTCAGCATGTGATTCTCATTTGCTTTTGTGCTGGCACTAAGAAGAAGAAAGCTGATCTCTACCCTTCCTTCCTGCAGCCTCTCCAGCAACAGTACAGGAATGACAGCATGTCAGCATAAGAGGAAAAAAACACACAACACTGGCCTTTTAAGCTAAAAGACAAAACCAGAAACTAGGCTTGCATTCCACTGGAGCATAAATCCACAAGACTTCCCATATGTCTCTTTTTTTAGGTCTCAGCTTTTTTGCTTGCGATCTGATGTTATAACCAAATAAGGACCCATTCATATTCTGACTACCATGATCCCCATGTTAAATTGTATCACGTGTCTTTGTTTTATCTCTCATTTTAATCTGTCTTGAACTTTTACATACAGTAGGTCCTCACCCTCCACTGTGTAATCTAATCCTAGTTTGATAATTACACAGGAAACACCATAATTAGGCGATGATAACCAAACTATCAGGATATTGGTTTGGCTCCTTCCAAGTTTTAAACCACTCAATTTCTACAGGTTGGAACTTGATTAGCTCATCCACATAATCCCATTTCTAAAGTCTAAAGGACAAAGTGTGATTGAATTTCTATTCACCACAGACTTTGCTGCTTCTAATGGGGGTTTTTTCCCTCTTTTGTTGTCTGATCAACACGGATATTCAGCAACTTACATTTAGGCCTTCTGTGTCTCTTTCTTCTTGTCTCTCCAGAGGCTGAACAGTTAGAAAGATGACCACTTCATGGAGTGACAGACTGCAGAACTATGCAGACTTGCCCGCCAACATGGACGGCCTTACAATGAAGAAGTACAGGAGGGAGCCCTACCACAGGTATGAAACATCCACAAGGGACACACTGACATTTCACAGCATAGATTAAGCAGCCAGACAGAGACTACTGTGGAAAAAACAAATAAAACTCCTGGACTAATGATTTTGATTTATGAATAGAAATGAAAGTAAATGAATGATAGTTTTCAGGAAGATTTGAGCATTTGTAATTTGGGGCTGTCAGCGCAACATAAAGAATATACTGCTTGTAATATAAGGATTAATAGTGCTCATAATTCAGCTTTCATTCAGAGGTTAAATCTGCAGGTAATAATAAAATATTGTGGACGTCCATTCTGTAATATGAAAACTAATAATATGCAGTTTCTGTTTGTTAAAATGATGGATTGTATGGCCACCCACCACAGAGGCGTTTACAGAATGAATTGCATAGTTATATACAGAACCACAAAGGAATCCAGGGCCGCTCTGTGATGCAGACATCAGGACACTAAAGAAACTACCATTATTAATTTCGGACAGCTTATATTTGTGTTTTTTGTTTCCTTTTTATTTCCAATTTGTCATCAGCGAGTAGTCAAAGAAATTGAGTTAAATTTCCTTTGTTTCACGAGTGTGTTTGTTTGTTTCAGCTTAGCTTTTATTGCTTGGAAATGTTTAGTTTTGTTTTGTTTTATTTTTCTCAGTTTCAGTGTTAGTTCTAGTCTTTGGTTATTATAATGTAGGTCTGCTTTTAAAGGACAAATTTATAAAGTTCAGATCAGTTATTAGGATTTGACTCACATCTATGTACATGTGCCAGACTCAGTTCACACTGCTGCCTCATACTTAATGTGTTTAGGAATTTGAAACTAAAACTAAAGGTATTGCCTCTGTGTCTTTACTTTGTAATGATGTTTTTCCCTTTAGTAAGAAACATTGTTTCGTTAAGGTTTTTTTTTTTTAAATGTATTTGGGGTTTTTTGTATTTCTGTTAAGAATTGATTGATTGACTAATTTATTTTTTACACCAACAGTAACATATAGTTATTTTAAGTAACTATAACAACGATAACTCAAATCATGACTTAACCAGTTGAGTTGTGTTGGGTGGTCTTTGGATTCCCCAACAGTTTATGACAGTAGCTTGTTACTATTTATTTCACCATGGCAAAGCATGTCATACATTTTAAAAATATACTAAAGTGCGTTTCTTAGATTTTACATTGTGTATCACTTATTGTCATTATAACAGAGTGACTGACTAATCTGTGATTATATCTGTGATTATCCTGTTAGCGTGCTGTGTTTTCCAGTTTAATTCCCGTCTTATTTTACTTGTAGTCTGCTATTGGTGCTCAGCATGTACTAGGCTACGTCTCTTTGTCACTTCGACTGTGAAGCAGGCTGTGCTGCCTTCCTTAGATGTTTCATAGAATTGATTGTGACTGGGGTGTGGTCTTTGTAGCTGTTATGCAAAATTTTTCACTCATGAAACATCAGCAGAATGACAAGACCCACGGGCTAAATGGACGACTCCAGATCCAGATATGCTCAGCATATTAAACATGTAGTTGGTTTTGCAGGGATTTTATGGCTTTGACTTTATAGTAAGTAGCTTTATTGACCATTAATATATCTTTTCACTTATAAACATCCTTGTTCCTTTACCTGCTTGTAGTAAAGTCCGTTCAGTTATACTGACATAATCAGGGGTTTATTCCCTGTCAGAGCAATAAAATGAGTGTTTCTTTTCAATGTTTAACTCTAAGGCATGTTTACAATGGGTACTGCTTTTCTTCCATGCTATAATATAATATGCAGTGCTCACAAGGTTTATGAAACCATCACTCATTTGTTTGTTCTGCATGTGCTGCTGGGGAATAAATCAACCAGTTCATGAACCAGCAAAGGGTTACACATGCAGTGCTAAGTGAAAGTTCAAAGGTGCTCTTTGAAACAATGTGACAGAAGTTCTTGGTCAGTGAAATCATTACTGATTTAAGCATGACCTTTTGTTTATCTTACAGACTCAGAAAGGCCTTTCCAACAAAGTAAGAGCTCAGCCGAAACAGTGCACACTGTGTATATCACATTGCAGGGGGCTGATGGCTCTGCCCAGTGCAGATAAACGTTCGAGTCACTGTCTGCATGAGATTAGAGCGCAGTGGAAAAAATCTGGCTGATTGTTCTTCAGCTGCGCTCAGATGGAGTAAAAGTTATTAAGGGATTCACTTGTAGGTGCTATTTGAAGCAATACTGATGTCAGCAGGGCCAAAGTCAAGGCTGACTACAGTAATTGATCTTAGGAGGGGCACGCTTTATCATTTATGGCCGTTCTTTACTACCCCTCCCACAGGCATCTGGCAAGAGGTTACATCATAATGGCACCAGCAAAACAGAAATAGAAAAGATTTAAACATTAAATCCTTTGTTCATCCCTGTGAAATGTTGACTGTATTTGTTTTGGCTGATGAGGAGCACATCCTATTTTGATGAGCCAGTGTTAAATGTTAAATGTCAAAATAAGGCCAGAATAGGCTCATTTTTTATAAGCAACTAAATATATAAAATAAATATAGATGATCAAATTTGATATAGCATTTTGATATTTGAGTACACGTTTTTCAAGTTTAAAAGGTCGTTAACCTGAATTTGCAAATCAGTTTTTGTTTTTTTTGTTTTTTACAGGTGATCAGTTTGAGATTCAGTAGCGCTTAATTTCATCTACAAAATTTATTTATTTGTAAGAAAGGATTTACATTAAAAAAAGAAAGAAAGTAAAAAGTACTATTAACTTTGTTAACAGTTACAGCATAAACATATTTAATTAAATTTTTATTTGAATAAAGAAGTCTAAGGATATTTGAAGAGGTAATTTTCTGTCGAAAATCACAACTGGCAGTTTTCACGGCCACAAAAATGAATTAAAAAAATAACCAGTAGTTGTAGGCCAACGACAAATGTGTATATTCAACCAGATGTGAGTAATGGGAAGCAGCTGTAGCTTGTGGCACTGGCGTGCTTGATTCTACCCGACTTGTGATTGTTCTAGATGTCTTTGAGGGCCCACAAACATCATGGTTCACAACAACCCTGACTGACAGCACACAACAACAGAGAATGACGCAGAATGGCCACAATCATTTTTGCAACAAGTCAGAAAATTTCTGAATGGCAAGACAGCAAAGAGAGAGAGGGAGGGGGGCTTTGTTTGTGGGTCCAGTGTTGCCCTGCGTTGCTGGAGCAGTGTCAGACCACCGGAGAGTCAAACCGAGGTTTAATTTCACACAGAATGCATTGCCAGTCGTGTCGTGGACTTTGCTCTAAATGGGAACTTGTTCACTATGGAGCCGCTGCCAGGTATTTCACAACTGATTTAGACGTTGGTGAAGATAAATAGACCATTGTCACAGAAAAATGAGAAGATTAGATGCCTTGCAGTTTTAGACTTGTGTATCAGTTCACCCTTGTTTTTAATTTAGTGTCATTCTTGATTTTTCTGTTGGTCTGATACATATTTCGGTTCTTGTATGATTAAATATTGACTTGTATAGAATTTCAACTATGTCACAGCTGTAGAAGATAAGTTATGTAGGTCTGTGCTAGCAGTCAGAGTTACGCAGACAGTGTGTGGCTGGATTTTCTGTGTCTACGAAGCGCTGGTTTTCATCGTGGCCACTTTATATTAAAGTATTTTAAGATATTATCAGAACTAATTATGTGTATTAATTTACTATTATCGTTAAGGAACATGCCAGCAAGTAGATCTCATAAAATACGCTCTAGAGAAACAAACAACTTGTAATAATGAAAGTATCAAAGAACCATCATCCTCGCATGGTATTTCCAGTACATACAAAGATGAAGTGATCTGAAATGGATATTTAGTTCTCATTTTCATTACAGCACCTAAAGTGTAGTTAATTATGTGTTATATATTGGTGTTTAATAAGGCTGAAATGACTTGGTAAGCTCTTCTTAAGTACTTGTCATAAGCTGCCTTTTGGCTTCTTAAGGCGCTGTACCTAACACAATAACAGAATTTATTCTTTTACACTGTGTGGTAATTGCCAAATTTGGAGTAGTAGTAGTAGTAGTGGTAGTAACTTCATCTTTTTTTTCTGACCTTTAGATTAGACACTCAAGGACACCCAACAGTAAACAAGATTTGTCCATGTTAGAACTTATCATATTTTCATTTTATGATTTATGTGGATAGAATAATTTGAAGTAATGAGACTGTACAGAAAATCTGAAAGAATAGGGCTATAGCTTTCAGTCAAATCTATAAATCACCTATATCATTGTTTATTTGGTGTAGTCTTTTTTTTTTTTTTTTGGCAAACAAACTCAAACTGCAAGCTCATAGAGGTGACACCGAGGTTTGTAATCATAACTGTACAAAAGAATGCAAAAATAAGAGTTACACTCTTATTTTTGTGTTTTTTACATTTGCTTTATGTATTTTTCTAGATTTGATTTTCACAGTTATTTTAACACCTCAGTCTATGCATGCACAGTGAAATGCACTGAGTCTAAATTACCTGACTTGATAAAATGTAAATCTATAGATGTACCTTTTGATAAAAATTTAAAAGTTGTACTTGGAAGAAAAAATGATAGTTGTTGGATATGTATATGTGGGATAACATTCTTCTTTTTCTCACTTGGGGCAACTGCTATGAGTCATAATTTGTTGCGGATGATTACATAAAATTTACAAAAACCTTTTCCCCCCAGAATCTTTGTCAACAGAAGCTTGGCAATGGAGAAGATTAAGTGCTTTGGCTTTGATATGGATTACACTTTAGCAGGTAAGCTAAATACACAATCACACAATCAATTACAATCAGTCATAATCAGATCAGAGTTTGGATAATCAGTTAACTAATGAAGTGAGTGATTGGAGGGAAAAAAAATGCCTATTTATCATTTGAAAAAGAGATTTCACAGTACTATGCAGTCCTATTATAACAAATTATACCCTAAATGGTTCCTGGACTTAAGACTGTAAATAGCGTCCAGGTGCTAATCGGATACAGTTGATTAATTGATCATCAGCAAGTGGGACCACCTCTGTAAAAGCAGACGTTTTGGCAGTTTTCTGGATTGAACAATTGAGATGTGTTATCACAATGTCACAGTTTTCCCAGGAGAGGACCCCACAAATTTACCCCAAGTTCTGACAATGGAAAGAAAATTTTAAAACCAAATTAAAAAAAAAAAAAAAACCCAAACAAACCCCAAAAAACCCCAAACAAACAGAAAATCAACACAAGACTTCTAGAACAATGACATTTGAACAGATGACACCAAAGTGGAGCTCTTTGACTATAATGCACAGTTTGAATACCAAGTACAGCATATCAGCACAAACACTTTATACCAACTGTCAAGAACAGTAGTGAAGAGGTGATAATTTGGGGGGTTTTGTTTGTTTGTTTTTTGCAACTGTAGGACCTGGTTACCATGCAGTCACTGAGCTGACCATGAACTACTCTGTATACCTGAGTCAAAGATGATGCTATCTGTTAGACAGCTAAAGCATGGTCGAAACTGGGTCATGCAAGAGGACAATGATCCCAAGCATACCATTAACTCTACAACATAACAGCTGAAAAGAAGAGACCCAATGACAAAGTCACAGTCAGATTATAATTATTTTTATGATTTTGATCTTTTTTTTTTATTTTTACTTCTTTTTAAGTCTAAATTTGCCAGTTTTTAAGAGACATTTATTATATACGGTCCAAAAGTGTTTTAGATTTAATAAACAATCGATCAATTTATTGATCTAATTAATCTGCACTTTTTAGGGTTTTGGTATGCAGGCCAAGTTGGCTGGAGTGTTGTATAGCACATTCTCAGTTTACATGGCTCGTCTGTGCTGTCATCAACAATACAGTCTTGTCAAAATGACCATTCCTATCTTGATAAACGTTATGTAATGAATCTATAAAAGTGTCTTGGAGTGGCATTGACTGAAAGGGAAACCAACTTTGTGGTTGTCACGTTAAATTTAGATTTTGAGAGCACATTTATTTATGTGCCTTTAGAAGCTGAAAAAAACTCTCTAGCTGTTAAATGTGCTGTGACCTCATGTTTGGTGTAGATGTTGAAGTCTATAGTATCCCTGTCTTTTCAGCTCTATATTTGGGTACCCTACCATTGCCCCTGAACCACAGCTTGTTGTTCATAAAGTATTATTTAGGTCAATGATAGTGATACACTGAGTATGCCATAACACTAGGATAACGAAATGTTAAGCCAGCAGTAGCTCTCTGTAACACAGACTTAATTGTGTATGTTCTTTTTCCTAGTGGCTAGCAACCTGGCTAAAAATATCCTGATTTTTCATGCCACTTTGTTCTGTGACTCAGCTCCAGTTTTCGGTCTCTACACATCTAAAAATAAATCTTCCCTGACTTTGAAAAACAGGTCACGTTTGTTTGTTGAGTTCAGCAATGACGGCTCCCCTGAGAACAAGAGTCACTTGTAGTTCTTCTTTGACTCTGGACCCCTATCACCATTCGGGGTATAAGAGATTTTACAGATGCTCAGCTGTTGACATGACTCTCTTTATGGGAGCTCATAACCAAGTGTTAATGTTTGCTTGAAGGGTGGCTATCGTGTATCTTTGGAGAGTATTCACATTTTGATCACAGAACTGCTTCCTCAGATTGACTGTTGCTTAATCACATGCAACGCTATGTGATAGAAGGCGGTTCAGATGTGCAGCACGCCTTAAATATGTACATTTCAAATATTACTTGCTTTTTGCGTGCAATGTTTATGGAAAAAGGTAAGGAAGAAAGATTGGGATTATAAAAATAGAGATTTAAAGCAGAAACATAATTTATTTTTTTAAATCACTATATAAAAACTCAATAATATCTGTCAGGAAATTTTGGTACACATGAACAAATGAAAACACAGATTATAGTTTAGAAAGTATGACAAAACTAAACATCAGTTGCTATTTCAATCTCCACTGTCCACTTCTGATGATGTTGCCTACAGTGCTGCTCCCACAGAGATGAGGGGCTCCTGTCTCAGCTTGTAGATAAGTTGGCAAGAATCTGTAAGATTTGAAGATATTTTGCTATTCTAAGCTAGCAGTTCTCAAATATGTACTCTTTGCATAACAAGCGTGGTGGCTGAGTGTAACATATTGGGAGTGGATGGGAGCAGTTGTCAACATGATTAAAGAGTTGTGTTTTTTATTGAGTTCACTGCCTTCATTGTGGCATGTCTATGGTGTGTCGAGTGTTTCCAAACAGAGCAAGAAAGTCTAAAACTCAGAGAAACCAAGAGCAGTTTTTCAGTAATTCTTTTCGCAGTCATTAAGCATTTTGAAAAAAATAGTGGGTTTTGGGGAAAACCCTTAAGTTAATTGAACGTATGCAAAACCTAATGTAATGATTTTGCTTATCTTCGGAGATTGTGTGAGGCTTTGGGTGAATTTTAAACACAGTCCCTGTCAACTGTAATCAGTTTAGCATATATCACACTGTGCAAAGACTACTATTGTGTGTATTCAGCATATATTGCAGATCTGCATAGTGAATTTAAGCTGAAGATAACGGTCATATTATAAAACATTTTAATAAGTTAACTTTTTCTTTACTTTGGTATGCGATTGTGATTGAAGCAGGAAATGCACTCCATGTCCTGATTCATGAAGATAATTGTCTCTGTTTTTCTGGATTAATCCTTGTGCTTACAGTGACATACTAAAATACCTTAAAAAGCTCAGAAAAATCACATCTTATGTATCGAATAAAAAAGGTAAAGTTTGGAAAGGAAATATTGCTAGGAATGCGAAGGAAAAAAACTATTAAGGTGCCTTTAAAGTTCTTGTGACCTTGGTTTCAGATGTCAAAGCATTTTTGATACATTTAAATGTATTCAAAAAAGAAGCAACAATCTAATCCATTCATAAAGCTTGCTGTGTAATCAAATTTCACTATGCCAGCAACAGGGGAATTCCATTTTAATTCAGATATTGAGAAATTACGATTGGTTCTTGGAGACCTCACCATCGCCTGCTACCAGCTGTGCTCCTGTTATCCCTTTCAAACGTTTGAGAAGAGCACAGACTATAAAAGAAATGCAATGTAAACGAACTAATTAACCAAAAATTAAAGTATTTGTGTTCATATGACTGTCTATAGCTCTTGGAATAAAGACGGTCAAAGAAAATGTGATTTCAGGGCTTGTTTTTAATATCAGCATAAGTATTTTAGATTGTTATAGACAATCTCATAATGCATTGTCGTCATGCATCAGTGTAATGACGTACAGTGACTTCCAGAATGAGACATTTTGTGCCATTTTGCTCAACACGAGGATAAGAAGAGGTGAAAAGTTTGTTCTATTCTAAAGCTTTAGTGCAAACAAATTGCAAATATCATACATTTCGTAAGACTTTGTAAACTGAATTAGCATTGGTTGAGACAACATTGCGTCATCTGTTCTTCTGCTCCTAAAGGGAACACGTAACACCCTGCAGAAAGTTGCTCAAACACAGTTTTAGGCCCAGATTGCAGTGAGAGATACAAGCAGGTTTGTCCTAGTTTTCTCACAGACTTTTGGCTGGAATGTGTGCCCCTGAGGCAATGTTTAAGCTTTCTAATTTTTCCCACAATATGCTTCATAGTGTTGCAAATTTGTCACAGAGGCCTACATTTCCACTTTATTCTGTGCAAATATTAAGACACAAGTTAAATTATTGCTGTGTGAAATGGGTCAGATAGAGTCTCCTTGTACGACACACTATATCTGATTTGGAGATGAGGGCCTATCAGCAGAAGGGCTTTCTGCTGGTTGTTTATCTTGTATGCAAGAGGTCTACGTTACATCTAGGCCTGTGGTGGCCTGGCCTATAAACTCTGGAGACATACGTTGCTGCTCAGCAGTGGGAGTATAATTATCTGGCATCAGTCCCATTGGGGATAAAAAGGGAAACAGATCTCTGAAGTTCCCACCACAGGGGGAGAGAGTCAAGGACACAGCAAACAACAATAACCCAACTTCCTGTTTACAAAAAATGCAGTAAACATGAGCATCTCAGATGTCTCATTTACTAAAACATGCAGCTTTATGTTGCATTATGTAGTCTTGGGTGTGGCTTTCATGAAATACAGTTCTACGATAGTCTATCAACAGTTCACAGTTCGAAGATTTGATGTAAAGGGCTTTTAACATAAAATACCTAACCATGGTTCATTCCAAACTTAACTCTGGCTGGTGCACTTTCATTAAACAGTAACATTATGGACAAAATGACATTTTAAGCCAATTACTGGGGGAACTTTAGTGGCTTTTGACCTAATATTAACTTTCTGTAGTAGGGAGTTTTAGCTGTCCCATAGGTTTTAAAATTGTCTAGAATAATTATTATATATCAAACCATTTTCCTGATTCGGTTTTCCAGCTTGACAAACTCGTAATGAGATTTGATTTGTTCTATTTTATGTGTGGGATGTACTAATTTCCAAAAGACAACATGTAAAGAGAGGCTCCCAGTGACCTCAAGTGAAGAGGGTGACATAGGGGAAACAGGTTTTAAAATAGGCTTCTTTGTAGCAACTCATGAGGAATATTACAAGTAAGCAAAGAGGAGGGGGGAATGCAGTTATATTGGTGTATGCTGCTGCTGCTCTGGGCAGAGGGCCCAAACCCTGTTTACTGGGAGAACACAGCAGGGGGTGAACTACAAGAGGTTACGTGATTAAAATGCAGAAACTGCCTCATGCAGTTACATCATATGATTGTTGGGGTTTTCTTTGTTTTCTTTGCATTATTGTAGGGTCTTTACTTTACAATATAAAGCGCCTTGAGGCGACTATTGTTGTGATTTGGCGCTGTTTAAATGAAATTGGATTGAATTCATGCTTACAGAGTAAAGGTGTCAACAAAAGAACAGAGCTTTACTGAACCCAGGCTTTTCCTGTACTTCTCTGTGTACTTATCATCTCTCTGTATAACCCAGGACTTGTGTATACACACATGTTTTCCAGAGTAGGACACAGATGTTTTCCTGCTTGACCTACAGTGCTGTTCCCTCCAACTAACTCTTCTCTAAGTATCATCAGCCAATATTTCAAACCCTTGAGGGGCCTTCCACCACCCCACTGGGGGTATAGAAAGCAAGCATTAACACCAGTGCATTCTGTTTTATATTTATAACATCTGACATATTCTTTCCCCCTGTCAGAAAGCATTTTAATCCTCTGCCAGTCTTTTTTTAGCCTTGCATCACTGTATGTTTTAATTTCCAGAGCCCACTCCTGTCTCGCTTTTCGTTTAGCCTGGGGTAAATATCTACCACTGGCAGTGACGGGTTAGGGGCTCGTCAGTTGGGCTCATTAAAGCCACTGCTTTACATCAAGTGATTTTTCATTTGCCCGCCTGATCCTCTTTCTTTGTGGATTTACATGCAGAACATCCTGGTCTGTGTTGGTAGCTAGGACTGAGAAGGGCATTGGGTGTGAGGGGATGTTCCAGTAGGGTGAAAACATGTTGTTGACAAAATACAGACAAGATGATCTCAAATGGATAAGGTGGCCTTTGAAAACTCAAACTTATTTGTTGTGTAACTTGAGTAAGTGCAACAAAATGCATATCACCTCATTAACCATTGTTTGCCATCGAATCACCCCACAGGCTATGCTTCTGGGGTTTTTAAATACAACATTGTTTGTATAATTTTGAGTCAGCTTTTCAGATCGATACCATTTCAGTACAGCATCACCGTCAATATTAAAGTAGTTATCCTACAAAAGGTAATAAATACAAATTCAAATAAACAGGGGAAAAAGTTTTTAAACATCTGATTTAAAATCTGTTATATTGATAACCAATCATTTGTTTGATTCTATATGTATGTATTTATAAAATATTAACTACTTTCATGTAACATTTCAGTTTTTAAAGTGTCTACAGGACACTTTTATGGGCAGCTGGCATTATTTACTAAACTAATGTGTATGTGTTTCCCTTGTAGTGTATAAGTCACCTGAATATGAATCATTAGGCTTTGAGCTGACAGTGGAACGGCTAGTGTCCATCGGTTATCCTCAGGAGCTCCTGAGCTTCGTCTATGACCCATCATTTCCCACCAGGTGAGACCAATCCCATCTCTCTGCACAGACATCATGAGGCTGATCGTGGCCATCAGATTATTGACCAACTGCTGTTTCTGTTGCCTAATCTCTAAACTTTGTAGTCCAGATAACCTTTTAGCTGAGATATCTATCTTAGCCAAGTAATAGTATGAAAAACCCCATCACCTGTGCAAAGTTCAGTGTCACTGTATTTATTTTGTAGTAAAAGATAACAAGTGACAGGAGTTTAAGTGCCAAGTGATATGATTGTTAGAAAGTTAGAAAGGCTGTTTTACTCGTGCATTGCAAAATCATGCATCCCTCTGCTCCTTTTTTCAGAGGCCTTGTGTTTGATACCATGTATGGAAACTTGTTGAAGGTTGATGCTTACGGTAATATCCTGGTCTGTGTCCATGGATTCAACTTCCTGCGAGGGTAGGTATTTTCAACATTCCCCCTCAAAATGCACAGATCTCTGCATACAAGCAAGCATCATAAATATAAACATTTGATAAAACATTTTATTCTCTTTTGTGCTTTTTTGCTTTTTCCAGCCCAGAGATCCGTGAACGTTACCCCAACAAGTTTATCCAGAGAGATGATACAGAGCGTTTCTATATCCTCAACACCCTCTTCAATCTGCCAGGTGGGTTTAAGTTCAAGCTTATTGTAGCCATTTCAACAAAACAACTGATAGGAATTGTTATGGTGTGCTCACATATAAAACAAGACACATCCCACAACACACAGCACCGCACAACGTGATACAAAATACAAGTGCATGTAACAGATCAGCCCATAGTAGCTCAGTGTATCTACCTTTAAAGTGATTTTTAGTGCAACAGGATATAGTCCAGATTGCAGAAGGGAACACTCCATAGTGCAAGTAGTACAGTTAATATTGCAAATGCATGATACATACATACACATTTTACTGCCCAATGCATTTCGATTACCGTATATGAGCACAAGCTGATGTAGGTAAAGTGAATTAATAAGAGCTTCAATGCATCTTCAAGAGCCTAATAGCTTGGAGTTAAGTATTATCCCTAAATATGTTCAGCTAGTAATGGTTTTGCCCAATGGGAAAAGAATGGAAAAGGTCATGTTAAGGGAGGATTGGTCATGGATGATGCTTCTGGCCTTGCTGGTGATTCTGGCGGCTTAATGTGAAGCTGGATAAAATGGATCATACCTTACAGACTGACTCTCTATTTCCTTAGCTGCTAAATAAAGTCAAGTCTCTGGTGGGCTTAACAATAAGACCAGTGTTTAAGTCCGATGATAAAAATTGGCGTATTGTGGTGGTGGTGGTGGGAAGAACTTTCCCATACAGAAGAATGTGTACAACAGAATCTAAATCTGGAAGGCTGGGGCGGCAAATAATTTCACTGAGGTTCTTGACATTATCTTCCAATCTTCCTGTTTCCTTCACAGAGACCTACCTTTTTGCTTGCCTTGTGGATTTCTTCACCAACTGTGATAGATATGACAGGTAAGAAAACCTTTCTCTGCTTTATCTGGCCTGCAACAAGTTTCTGGGCGCCGCATGATGAGACCATGACAGTTGCAAGCCACAAAGGGTCAAGAGCAAGCCCTAACGCATGGGAGGGTTCAGGTGTCTCAGCTGCTAATCTCGTCTAATTCTATTGTTAATCCAATGGGAGTTCAGTCAAATAACCCTTCGTTTCGATTACAATTACTATATCTATTAATCTGTTCTACCAATTGTGAAAAAGTATGGATTCTTATCAAATTCAGATAGGAATAAAAACAATTACTAACTATTTGCAGAGAATGAAATCCTGATATAACAACAAGATAATCCTCTGACTGTTAAAGTAAGGAGATTTAATGGCCTGTAATTTTTTTTTGAGAATGTAATCTGGAATGGTTGCATGTCCTTTGTCCTCTGAAACCTGGTTGTTGGTCTTTTAGGGGGAGAATGTTTTCCTGTTTGGCTGGGGACCCCTCCAACAAGGGAAGGCTATCCCATTTAAAAGCAAACAAAAAACAAATGTCATGTTTTTGAAAACCTTCTATAAAACTATGGCCTGTCCGACGGCTGTGTACGTGTGTGTCTTTGCTCCCCTCCCCCAGCTGTGAAACTGGCTTCAAAGATGGCGACCTCTTCATGTCCTTTAAAAGCATGTTCCAGGATGTCCGGGATGCTGTTGACTGGGTCCATTTCAAGGTAAAACACATGCAACCACTAAGATTTAATCTGATTTGTTGGAACTAAAACTAGATCATGTGATGAAATAGAGTGCATAAATTATATCTTGAGGACAAGTTATTATTTGCAAAGAATAATTTAATTGAAATAAACATACTGGCATGTTATATCATCACAACCTCTCATACTTTTGACATCTCTGTGATACCCCTTCCTCTGTCTTGGTGGAAGTCCTACCTTCCTTATTTATTCTGGCCAAATATAACATAATGTGATAACAGAAGGCAGCCACCAACAAGCCAAGTAAAATTTTGCTCATACGATGTCTGAATCGAGTCTCTTGACAGAATCCAGTTAAGTTTGTAATATTTACTTAAGAACATCAGGATAATGTCTCCCAGTTTTTATCTGATATGTATTTGTGAAGACGACGTATACAGGAAATTTTGAGACTGTCTTAATAATAATGCCATTCATCATATCGTTCATATGCAGGCATATATTTTCTGTACACATATGTTTCAGTCTGCACTAACATACTAACACAAACTCACAGTTAAAATTCTGTCAACTATGTCTTCTTATATTCAGTTAAAAAGTACTAAAACCTGTTTCCAAAATAAACTGCAGTTAAACCATGCATATTTGTCCTAGACTGTAAACCAATTTTTAAAGCTTTGCAAAAAGAGAAGTTGTTTACAGAAGAATTAGAGATACTCTTGAAACACTACCACTGATTATGCCACAACTAAACAACACAAGGTCCCAAAGGTTCTGCAGCAGTCGTCACCAATTACTGCTTCCAAACTGCTATTAACCATACAGCTGTACTTTAAAATGTTACTTCACTAGAATGTCTGATCTTTATTGTGTATAGTGATCTTTTCTTTAGAGTTTGACACTAGAAAGCTGTTTTAATTTCGTGTGCTAAAATTGAACATCACCCTGAGCATCCGCTGAAAAGGGAGTGAGTTCAAGATGTGTAAGCACGTTTCAGTGATGTCTTAAAGCTAATGATTAAACTTTTGAAATGTTGCATTATTGCATAATGATAATGGATAGAAAGATTATACCAATGTTAATGCAATTTTAAACAAAGGAGCTAGGTTTACTTGTCATTTTAAGAATTTATATCAGCGTTTTTGGAAATCCAGCATTATTCACTGATATCTATAGTTATTGATGATTTTGCTAACCCCTTTGTCTCACATTGCAGGGTACGCTGAAGGAGAAGACTGTGGAGAACTTGGAGAAGTATGTAGTGAAAGATGTAAGTAGTTTGTATTCACTGAGTGCACTGCTGCAGAGAAAACACACACAGTGTCTCACACTCTTGTAGTCTGTGAAGAGGCTGGTTTGTAAAGATGCTTAGAGCTTCATTCTTTCTCTTTCTTTTCTTCTTCTCTGTTCCCACCAGGGAAAGCTGCCTCTTCTTCTCAGCCGAATGAATGAAGTATCCAAGGTTTTCTTGGCAACCAACAGTGACTACAAATACACTGATGTAAGTGTGTGTGTGTGTGTGTGTGTGTGTAGTTATGGTGGAAACTTACTGATTAGGGAAAACAGTAATGCAATAACAGTGAAAGACTTAGATGCCAGTAAGTTAATGCCGAGATCCTTTTATTAGTTTTCTACCAGTTTGTCGGTAACACGTGTATTCGCTTATGAACAAAGTATGTGTCACATCAGACTTAGAGACGTTGTGTTGTGTTACAGAAAATCATGACCTATTTGTTCGACTTCCCTCATGGCCCAAAGGTAAAACATATTTTTTCTATTTCTATTTTTTTTATTATTGTCAAACATAAATGTACATCATGGTTTTATCTTTGTACTCATGTTTGTGTGTTTCCATCCACCCCAGCCTGGCACCCCGCACCGGCCCTGGCAGTCCTACTTTGATCTGATCCTGGTGGATGCCAGGAAACCGCTGTTCTTCGCAGAGGGTACAGTGCTCAGACAAGTGGACACAGTAAGCAAAATCAGAAGAGAGAGTTCTGGCCAGAGAAGACATTATAAGTGAACCCTAGCTGGCATGTGTTATGTTGTGGCTTACAGTCTGTCCCTTATTTGCTGTTCAGTCAGGGCTGCTCAGGATTTCTTCGTTTTGTTTTCCAAAAACACACCAGTTGTTTCAAACTGAGGGCCAGCTTACTGAAAACAGTGTAGAGTGCATGAGTGAATTTTTTGTTAGATAGTCGTTCGAGCGTAGTTTGCATTTTTGATTTAGTCACTGGCTCAACCTGGGATCCATTCTAGGGTCGAATTAGACAAAATCTGTATGTCAATTATTTTGGTACATATATATTAATGGGAAGGCAATGATCACAATGATTTAAAAAGCATAATATTATGTAAATTTAAGCATGAATTTATGCCAGAAAAACGCAGAGGTAAAGGCCCTAAAAATATGCCATCAGTGCATAAGTAATTAAATGATTGTTTTCAGGAAGATGGAGCAATTGCAGAATGATTCAAAAACAGTCACTCACTTCACTTAGGTTATTCAGACCCACTTTTTAGTGACTTATTTATTTTCTTCATTTCAGACAACAGGACGTCTAAAGATAGGAACCTACACAGGACCACTGCAACATGGGATAGTCTACTCTGGAGGTAAGGCTTTATTTGTTTCATCATTCATTCTTTGAGCTAGGCTTTATTCATCTGTCATTCGTGGACCTTAAGAATGCATACATAGTTGGTAACACGCTACTGTCATTCAGGCTCTTCAGACATTGTGTGTGACTTGCTGGGGGCCAAGGGAAAGGACATAGTATACATCGGGGACCATATTTTTGGAGATATCCTCAAATCCAAGAAACGTCAAGGCTGGAGAACATTCCTGGTTATACCTGAGCTGGCCCAGGAGCTTCACGTGTGGACCGACAAGAGCTGTGAGTCTAGAAAGAACTTCACTCATAATAACACATAGTGTGCAGACATGTGGGAGGGCTAGTTTGACTGCATGTTTTCTCAGTCTCAGAAAGGACTTGATCTTTAATAGCAATCTGAAATGTAAAATGTTGTGCAAAAACTACATCTATAAGTGCAAAACAAAAACCTGTAAATGATCTCACTCTCAAAGGATACATTCTCAAAATTTCAAACATTTGTACAGCAACTGTACATGTACTCAAATGTGCTGAAGAGAGAGAGATTCACGCTCTCCCTCTGTTTTCCAGCATTATTCGAGGAACTCCAGGGCCTGGATGTTTTCTTGGCAGAACTCTACAAGTAAGAACTGTGACCTTTAGCCTCATTCCCCCCCCACCCCCCCACCCCCAGGTTCCCATTCTGCTGCTCTTTGCTCTCGGCTGTAACAGTGTCTGTTTGCATGCATGTGTGGATACTGCATATTTAACAGAAACCCACAGGGCCAATAGGGTAAAGTCTAAAGTGTCAAAGTGTGCACCTGATAAGCAGGTTCACTGACGTTATTTATAGCCTGGCGCAATTCTCTGTTACGCCACCTCTTTGACTCATCATCTTTCAGGAGGCTGATATCAGTATCCACACCCCCACCCAGTCCTCATCGTTTTTCTCCTGCTTCCTTCTCAGGCATCTGGATAGCAGCAGTAATGAAAGGCCAGATATCAGCACTATCCAGAGGAGAATCAAGGTACACCCTTAATGACCTCTGCTGCTATGACAACAGATGTGCTGCTTATGTGGTTTTAGTGCTGTTTGTTTCATAGAGACTAATCATTAAACCGCCTCATCAAAGAGCCCTTTCAGTCGGTGTTTGTCTCTCATAGGCTGTCGGAAAAAGATGCAGATTCAGCTGTTTCACTGAACAAATACAACATCCCAAATAATTTATTAACCGTACTTTCCAGGGTTAATGAATCAGTGTCCCTCTTTTTTGACGTGATTTTGAAGGCTTACCAGTTTCTCTTTTTCTTCTTGTTTTATAGAAAGTGACACATGACATGGACATGTGCTATGGCATGATGGGTAGCCTGTTCCGCAGTGGCTCCAGACAGACTCTCTTTGCCTCACAAGTGATGCGTTACGCCGACCTGTATGCAGCCTCCTTCATTAACCTGCTGTATTACCCCTTCAGCTACCTCTTCAGAGCGTCACACATACTAGTGAGTATCTGAATGTAAAGTGGGGGAATTGAATGAAACCACGCACCCTTAAGATGCAGACACATTGCCACACTTCACTATTGTCTGTTCTGATCTGTCATTGTTCGTAAAACATTTCAAAGGTTAACTGTGTTCTTGTTGTGTAAAAAATGCTGTATACAGCTTGGTGAATTAGTCAAGAGCATATGACCAGTCATATTCTATCGCTTAGCAATTTGTCTTATTTCTCCTCTTCCAGATGCCCCATGAGTCAACAGTTGAACACACCCACGTGGACATCGACACAGAGTCCCCGCTGGCTACCCGCAACCGCACCCACTGCAGCGACTGCAAAGAGCTAGAGTGCAAGCGCAACCAGCTGACCCGCTCATTCAGCGAGATCAAGCCACCCAACCTGTTCCCTCAGACTCCCCAGGAGATCACTCACTGTCACGATGAGGATGATGATGAGGAGGAGGAGGAAGAAGAAGAAGAGTAATATAATAGGACCTTTAGAGGGGAGCCATGTTCCCGTTCCTGCCTTCTTATCTTTCCTAGTAGAGTCAAGTAGTGATTGCTTTCAAAGCGAGGCAGAGAGGGGAAAACATCTCCAGTGTGCATAGGTGTGATCACACACGCTCACACACGTACACATTCTTCAAATTTCTGAGGATAAGTGTAAAGGACCAGTAGCAAGAGAGATCATATGACTGTCAGAAGACTGCATGCTCGGTCCTCTAAACAAAACCTGTATGAGCTTAGTTAAAAAAGAAAACAAACACAAACTTCTTGATTTGTAAATTCATTTGATTTCTGTATAATTCTCCCAGCAGACAGACAGAGCACACACACTCAAACAGACATCACACACCACGTTTCTTTATCTTTTTATAAGCTGAGTTTTAAGTCCTGCTGGTGGATCACTTAGTTTTGGTCATGTTTACGGTTTAATCCACCAAGTTTGGACTTTCTACTGTAGTTTGAAGTGTAACACAAACTGACAGAATATGCACATTGCAGTCACGGGCAAAACACTTTTCAGCGTAAGTGCCGAAAAATCAGTGCAGACATTAAACATTTTTATATGCAACATGGGAACAACATTCAATTTTTTTTTTATCCATTTTGTTTTATTTGCTTGTCTTTATAGAGCTGTAACTTGTATGTGAGAGTATTTCTGTGTGTGTTTCTGTCACGGTAGACTCATTCATACTTTAGCATCCTGAGTGACGGTAAGCAAAGAAGATGTTGGACAAAACTGAAGCACAAGCTCGCACCACTCGATACCCAGATGAATATCTTTTTTGACTTGTTTGGAGTTTGGTTAGGCGTACACAATGGAGGCTATTGAATTGATGCTTTGTTACCAAGCAACAAAGAGGACAGAGTATCTATATTTTATCCTTAGTCTCTATGACTACCCCGAAACACAGTACTGTTTCTATAAATACCTGTAAGGTAAATGAGATGAGTTAATCGTTCAACACCATGAGCGGGCTGTTATGCAGTATTTGTCAGCTTGATTGTTTTGGAAGTATAACGTGAGTATTTCATTTATCAGATTTTTTTTCTTTTTTGGTAAGGGGGGTGTACAGTACAAGGTCTTCAAGTTTGTTATTTTGCAAAGTGTGTAAAAAAGGAAAGAGCATGAAAGTGGATTCGGCATGTAATGAAAGTAGTGTTTTCGACAAAAAACTTAATTGAAAAGGTCTAATGAGTTTTAGCTGACTTTTATCCACAGGTCCAGTATTAGCATGCCATTCATAGGATGAAATATGAACTGTGTTTACAGTATTTTGCTAGCGGGCTTCTTAACACTACTATGTGTTGTAGATCGTGTTCACAGGTCAGAAATGAGTGAAGTGCTCCAACATTAAATGCTTGATTTTGCATTTGCTCTGATCGTTGCAACAAAATACAAGCTTGTTAAACTTAAAGCTCCTGAAAACTTATTCTAAAACACCTTACACACTTCGTCTTATACGACTTCTATTACGCATAATATGATGTGGCACGACCAAAATGATTGTGACCGTGTGCAATTAACTTCCAAATTGTTGCCTTTGAAATGATTTCTTCAATTATGGAAATTATGTCTGCAACCAGTCACAGTCAGTTGCCCTCTTCAAAGTGTGTTTTGTGTTAAGATGGCGATAAAATAGCAAAAGGAGTCAACCTGTTATCAGTTTGCAACAGCAAAATGGGGTCAGTCTGTCTTTGACGTTATGGTGATGAATTTGCAAAATCACAAATCTGTTGCAAATTTGTTTTCTGTTTACATACACAGAAATTCATATTAACTACTTGCATTCAGAGTCCAGTCAGCGCCTCATAGAAATTCAGAAATTCTTCCACAAATGGTGGCATAGTTGCTGCTGGATAGCGATTGAACTGCAAAATGACCTAAACCTTGCCTGTTTTATGGGAATTTAACCAGAATACAACCAGCTGGTAACCAGCTGAGTCGCGTCTTGGAAAGAGATGCGCTCAGATTGATTGCAACATGTTGACTCTAGTTATTTGAATACCTTCAGTCCACGTTGGACCACAAATGTTTGGAGACAGGTTGCATTTATGCAGTCACTGTGTGATTGCTATGAAGCTTGTTATAGACTTCATAGCTTAGTCCATAGCTGTGGACTTTTCTGCTTAGTTTTTTTTTTTTTTTTTTTTTAAATCCTAAATGGAAAAACAATTTTTGAATCAATATCAAAAGTTTTATTTTATTTAATTTTGAAAACTTTGGTTGAGGTGGTTTAGTAGGGGTTATGATAAAAGGAAAATGTGACAATGGAAACAAAACGTGACACTTCTGCTTGAAGTTTGAGCCCCTCTCCAATGGCACCAATCAGATTCATTTAAAATGCACACGCAAACTTACCTAATGACCAAACTACCCGCCAAAAAAAAAATCTTCCATTAAATTATTAAAACTGTGCAGATTTTGTTCATACTGGACTCTGCTGATCATCAAGAAAAGGTGATGGGAAAAGTTTTCAGGATCTTTAATGCAGATATCAGTGGCATCAGTGTTCATACACAAGGTAGAGTGCTGCCTCATATTATTTTTTTCAAACAGCAACTTTTTTTTTCTCCCCCTTTTCCTACCATCCACTAAAAACAACGTTAAGCTGCCTCACCTTTTTAAAGTAAGTCTCGACCTCTTCTGTCTTCAGTGTGTTGGATCGGCCTTTTGATTTAGGCCACAAAAAGGGAAGGAACATGCCGTTTAGTTTTTGGAATGATTTTTGGTTTGGCTTGATGTGGAGTGAGTAGTGGTGAATGTGCTTAATGCGTTGGATAAAACCATGTTGAACATATATGAACATATTACAGCTGTTTAGGCTTTGTTTTTTTGTTTGTTTGTTTTTTTTTTACAAGTGAAATATTTATATTTTATGTTCTGATGTTTGTTTCTTGAACATAGAATAACTGGATATGCTACATGATGCAGCTGCATTGCCAGCGTGGAAGAGGTGACTGTCTTTGCATCATTTCATGTGAAAATAACAACAGTATCCGCTCCGCTGTGGCCGTTATGGTAGCATCAGTTTGACTTCTATGTGAGGCTGCTGTCGGTGTAGTTTACACAGAGAGGATAGAGAGAAAAAACAAACTGTAAGCCTGCAAAAAAAAAAAAAAAAAAAAATCTTAAAATGAAGGGAAATGTGACTAGCATGTTAAGTATCATAATTTGTTACTTGTCATCAGCATCATGGGATTTTTACTTTTCTAAGCTAGTGTTTTCCAATGGTCTCTGTTTACAGAACTGTAAATAGACCTCGCCATTTCCTTTTCATATGATTTTCTTTAAAAAAATATAACATTTTTTGTTCATTTTTATACAATATCTCATAAACCTGTCACTACGACTTGGAACTAACTAAAGACTGGTGAATAGGTTACAGTGCTTTAGAAGATTTTTATCTTGTGTTCTGATGCCCAGAATGCATCTGTATTAACAGGTGCAAGAACTCCACTGTTCATTTTCTAACCTTTAGTAAACTTTTGTTTTTATGCATATCAATTTATGTTCTTCAGTGTTTTGTGTGTTTCCACAAATTATCCTTTAGACTGTACATTGAAGTAAATTACATAAAAATGTAGAATAAAGATAGTTTGTAATATTTTGCTGTTGCTTCTTGGGTTTTCTTCTCTCGATATTGTGTTAAGGGACCTGAAACCAGGTGATACATATATTGTTGTATCTATAGTCCAGAGCTAAAACTAAAATTTAAGGTATTTAATATACTCCTAATATATTAAATTTTATTATTGACATAAGGTTTCACTTTTCTAACACTTAAGTGGCAAAAATACATCTGATCAGTGACTAAGGGAAATTCAAGGCTCAGTTCAAAGGTTTTGCACATCAGGACATAATAAAAAAAAAATTTTTTTTATCCATAGCCGGTTTTAAAATATAACATTTTTTTTCCATTTAACAAAAATATTGCTAAACTGGAGAAGAGGTCTATGACAAATTGAACCCTTATTTGTTTATTTTGCAAAGCTTCAACTGAACAAACCAAAAGACTTCTGGAACAATTTTCTTGGACAAACAACCAAAGTGGAGATGTTTGGCTGTAATGCACCACATCGCATTTAGTGAAGGCATATTAGCACAACCCCATACCAACACACGGTAGTAGAGAGGTAATGATTTGGGTTTGCTTAGCAGGCACAGGACCTGATTACCCTGCATTTGTGTGTATGCCAAAGAGTCAAATGTTAAACTGTCTGTCCAACAGCTAAAGTAGAGCTGGAATTGGGTCATGAAACAGGACAATCATACCAAGCACATCAGCAAATACAATGCAACAGAATTCTGAAAAAGAGTCAGGGTCAGGGTGACTGTTCAGAGGCTCAGACCTCCGACAACGCTGTAAAGAAGAGTGGCTACAAGTCATAAAGCATTCAAGTAATGCTGGTCAAGCTGTTTCTACAAACTACTGAAACAAGGTGTGTACTATTCACACCCGGGTGTGTAATTTTTCACACCCCGTTTCTCCTCCTGCTGGAACAGAACGTAATCCTGACTCAGCATTAAAGTCCTTAGTTTTAATCATTTAAGGTGCAATATTTTTCTTTTAATGTCCTCCAGCCTCCACAAAGTATAAAGCAAAGCATGGATAGCAATGGATGCTAAATTCTAACATGGGAAAGTTTGCAAGTGAGTATAGTTGGATGAGATGTAATCCATGGAGTTTAGGTGATGGCTCAGCTGAAAACTTACTATATCTAGTTGGACATTTTTTACAGTGTGTTAACCAGTCTACAGCGCCATGTCAGCAAAGCCGCTTTGCAACACACCTTCGTTTTCCTGCGCCTTGCCATTGATACGCAGCCTCTCCTGTACTGTGGGTCTTGCATTCCTTAATAGGTCGGGGAGGTGAGAAATCAGAGCCATGCTGCTAAACATATAGCACTGCAGATAGAAACATATTTCTTTTCATTACAGTTGTTCTGAATGAATTACAAACAAATCAGGATCTCTGAGAGTGATTTAAATGCTTAACAGCTGGTAAATGGTAATCAAAGCTACTGCTCATTAAGTAACGGCTTTGTTAATGACCAACAGCTTAAGAACCATTAGCATCTGAGTGTTTTGAATGAAGTGTTTTCTACTGATATTAACCCGACCCATCTTGGTGGGTTGTTAGATGAAGATTGTCCTGTTTTTAATTGCTGCTCTGGTGTGAGTATCAGTAAAACGTGTGTCAAGTAGAGGAAGTCCTGTCTCAAAAGCAAACATTTGCAGCTTCATATGTAGCACACAGAGTCACCGGCTGCCTTGTCTGTTAATCATTCACTTTTTTATTAAACCACTGGCTGGAGAAGGCAACGAGAGTGTCACGTTCAGGCAGAAGGAGAATTATGGACAGCACATGGTTTGAACAGCAGCATAGAGGTGGACAGAAGTCCAGTTTAACACAGGCCTGGAAGACATTCACATGATCGAGGAATGATGACCTCTGTTCAGCTGAGGCTGGAGCGTGTAAGAGGAAAAAAATGACTGTATGTTTGTTCTGTGTCACAGAATATTAAAATAACCACCCCCATTACAGCTGATGCCCCACCCCCACCCCCCGCGTTTCGTGCAGACTTTTAAAAAAAAAAAAAGTTCTCATGCTTCTTCTTTCATCGGGCTCTGAGGTGCACAGGCAGAATTTGAACATCACAACCTTTCAGTGTGAATCACAGTTTTATCTCTGGAGTGATCGTCCCTGCAGACTGCAGTGGGCCTGCTGCATAGGAGCACTTTCAAGTAAACGATAAACAACAGCAAGCGCAGCTGCAAACAATGCAGATGTTCTCTGTGACCGGTTTTACAACAGGGACGTCCCTCGCATCTGAGCAGATGGAAGGCCTCTTTGTCCATGTGTGCAGCTTGCAGAGACGGTTAGGGCACTCATACATATACCTTGAAATATAATAGGAAACAGCTACCACCAGTGGCTATAGTCTGCAACTGAATGCTAAAAAGATGACTGAGCTTTAGGAAATTTTCTGTTGCCTGTAAAGCAGCAAATTAACTACAAGCAAACATTAGATATGATGTTAAAGATCAGGCCCGATCTTTTCCACTGCCTCTACTTGTACAAGAAAATACTATCAACAGCCTAAAAAAGTCTTTCTTTTAAATAATACTTAATAAAAAAGGTCTGAGGTCTTGTAAGCAAACAAATCTGTAAAAACCTTCATAATACAGAGAAGGACATAAATTGTAGTGGTAGATGTTATGTGCTACCAAAGTAGTTTTTCTTATTTTTCAGAAAAATCTAAGTGCCTTTAAATATTAAGACAGATATTACCTTAAAAACTTTCCCAGTTGGTTTATCAGTTTGGTCAGTGGTTCTCTATATAACATGCTTGATAGAAATGCATTTTTAAAAAAGAGAATTGGTAATTATTTTATTAAACATACACAAATTTGCAAAAATGTCTTCTAGAAAAATTAGCTTAATTTATGCTTTGGGCAAATTCTTTTCACTTTTCTAATAGAAGATGTGATATGTGTAAAAAAAAAAAAGAAATGTGCACATTGACCATTGCATTAAAAAACAAAAACAACACAAACTTTAGGGTACTGTGTAAGTCTTAAGTCATCCCAAATGTCTTTATATTTTTAAGTAAAGAAGGCTTTCTTGCATTTATCTTTACCACATATTGTACACCAACACGGTGATTCCCAAAGATCTTCTAACTGAAAATGTTTGCATATCTCTGCATGCTGAGGAAACTGGATAAGCAAAAGACAAAACAAATGGCAGCAATGGACAGGGTGTGAAAGTCAAATCTTTAAGAAATAGGAGAAAATCCATTGAAGAGTTTATACAGGAAAGATGCATCTGAGCCTTTACTGTTCCCTGAAGACTCATCAGAAATGGTCTCAGTTCAAAGGTGCCTGTTGAGAAACTTAAGGAAGGGGAAACGGGGAGAAGGCTGAGGTCTGCCAATTCACACAAGAACTGGACTGAAACTCAGGTCTGATGGAGTGGTGAATCCAAAATTTGACATTTTTGGTTGAAATTGTGGTAAATATGTAGAGAGGCGTCTAAGAGAGAGGTCCTACAGTGACTGTCTACAGCCATCTGCGAAACGCGTGGAGGTTCTGTCTAGGGCTGCACGATTAATCGTTAGAAGATCGCGATCTCGATTCATACTTATGTGCGCTCTCATTTCCAAATGACAACGATTAAAAAAAAAAAAGACGACGACGATTGTACCGCATTTTGATCCGGGACGTAATCTGCATGAAAACAAGCGCTCACTCTTCCTGCTCAACAAATGACAAGGGCGGAGCATTATACCACGTGATACAGAAGCTGTGCTATGTGATGCTAAAATTAGCAGGGAAAAAACAACGGAGAGCACGTGACAGGAGAAAATCCGTCCCGGTCAACCACCCAAACATCAATAACGGGAACCTTATACAGCGCTTCCCTATACACGTCGAACTCCCGCAGGCACAAAGAAATTACGGAGGCTATTACTTATCACCTGACCAAAGATATGGCTCCCATAAACACTGTGCAAAACGAGGGATTTAGGAAAATGATCAACACCCTAGACAAACGCTACACAGTGTCGAGCAACGGTGGAGACGGAATTTCAAGCAGTACAACATTTTGCGGCAACAACAAAACGTGAGACATTTGTTGTTGTTTTTTGTTTATTTATTGTTTTTATGTTCAGTCTCAGCTGTTACGAAGTTGATGTGCAGTTAATAAGTGCAATAAATATTTATACTGGAAAAGAAAATCGTGAGAGAATCGTGATCTCAATTCTAAGCCAAAAAATCGTGATTCTCATTTTATGCAAAATCGTGCAGCCCTAGTTCTGTCACAGTTTGGGGATGCATTTCAGACAGTGTTACTGAGAATCTTTTCAAAGTTGATGGAATTATAAATGCAGAAAAGGACCATGACACAAGTGTCTGACTGACAACAGCTTAATTTTTCCAGCAACAGCAAAGATCACACTGCAAATGCAGTACGAGCATATCTCGATAGACTGATAAGTTTCTTCTTCAGAACTGAAGAAGCTTTTGGGATGAGAGGTAAAACGTCTTCAAGGACACTTAAAGAAGTCCAGACGCTTTTCTTTCCAAGCTCCTTAGACTACGATGAGCTGGATGACTGAGAACCTTCACAGACATAGACTGATAA